CTGGTGGAGGCCTTGGTAGCTGTGGTCCGTTAGTCCTTTGGACTGTTCTTTTCCTTGTATCTTATTTTCTTCATTCTCCCTTGCTCCCAAAGGAGTGAGACAAGTGGAGTATCATAGATGGTTGCTCACAGGCTTGCTTTTTTTTTCTTATTAATTTGTAGGAATTCTTTATATATTCTAGATATGAGTTCTGTGTCAAGTATATGTATTGTAGACATTTCTTCCCAATCTGTAACTTACCTTTTCAGAGTGTCTTTTGATGAACAGAATTTCTTAATTTTCACGAAGTTCAATTTATCCGTCTTTTTAGTTAGTGCTTTTTGAGTACTGGTTTAAGACATCCTTTCCTGCCCCAAGGTCATGTAAATATTCTGCTATGTTTTCTTCTTGAAGTTTTATTATTTTATCTTTCACATTTAGGTCTATGAGCCATTTAAAATTAATTTTTACATATAGTGTGAGGTAAGAGACAAGGTTTTTTTTTTTTCCCCATTTATTGCAAAGACTATCATTCCCCCCACTTAATTGCAGTTATGCCTTTGTCATAAATCGGATGGCTGTATATGTGTGAATCTGCTTCTGGACTCTATTCTGTTCTGCTAGTCTATTTGTATCTTTAGCAGTGTCACACTGTCTTAGTTATTGTAGCTTTATAATAAGTCTTGATATCTGGGATTTTATGTCCTCTAACATAAGACAGTATTATGTTACTTAGCAGGCCACATCACCCAGGCGTAATGACTAGAGAGTCTATGTCCTGGAATTATTCCTGAGCCTTACTTATCCAATCTTTCTTTTTATTTGGTTATGCCATATGTGGTAAACCTCTCTATTTACACATGCATAAATTTTCTGTTTGAGTTCCGTCCTGGGGACTTTCAGTAGACAGGCCTGGCCATGACCTGTCACATTAGCACATTATAAACCAAAAAACTAGTTGCCATCAAGTCGACCCCAACTCATGGCAACCCTATGTGTGTTGGAGTAGAAACATGCTCCATAGGGTTTTCAGCGGCTGATTTTTTGGAAGTAGATCACCAGGCATTTCTTTTGAGGTGCCTCTGGATGGACTCAAACCTTCAACATTTTGTTTAGCAGCAAAGTTAACTGTTTGTACTACCTAGGGACTCCAGCACATTATAGCTTCTCAATATATGTTCTCCGTTTCCCATCTTCTGTGGTCATTTTGCAGTTTCTGGGGCTAAAAATCACCTCCCATGTGCACATCTAGGTTTCGGGCTCCAAGACCTGAGAGTTTGCTCAGACCGGGAGGTGGTCAGTTTGCTCTCCACCCCATCCCTAATGAGTTTTCTGCTGTACACTGGCAGGTTCACAAGGACACGTACCACATGCAGCAGGGCCTGCAGGAGCGAGTGCAAAGTTGCAAGATCGGGAGAAATCAGGGCTCCATCTACCTCCAGAGGGTACAGCGCCAGGAGCTGGAGCAGAGGCTGAAGCAGGCAGAGGCCTGGCTGCTGCAGCTGGGATATCTTGCCCGCCTGGTAGACTACATGATTTGCCAGAGCCTTGTGTCCATCGTGGAGGAGGAGATAACTTCCTTTGTGGCCAACATCCTGCAAGTGAGGTGGTGGGTGGCATGTGTGGAGGTGGGCAGGCAGTCACAGGCTGGATGGGTGAATGGATGCTGACAGCTTGCCCCAAGACCCCTCCTGACTCTTCTTTTACAGGCCCCAAGGAAGAAACCCTTTCTCACAGCACAGCTGGTCTTTGACAGTTGTGGCCAGCTGTCTCATGCACCCTCTATTGAAAAGATGATCCAGATTCTAAAGGGGGGCCTACAGTCTGTCAAGGCCTCTATCCTGCAGGTATTCTGGAGAGGGCAGGGGGCTGACTGTAGGAATTTCCACTTCCTATCTTCTGTGTAATGAGAAGCCCTCAACCTGGTCTTAATCCCTCATTGTTTTCTGTTTCTGCCCCTTCTCCATATCTTGGTGTGAAGGTGATGCAATCTGCAGACCTCCAGATTTCCTGGGATTCCCTGTATTCTCAAGGTATTTAAGGAAACCTAGGCAGAGAGTAGGCTGGAAGGAGGGGGAAGGGCACATGGAAAATGCAGAGTGCTGATGGCATGGGAAGAGGGCAGAAGGCCCAGGCTCTACAGTCTGGGAATCAGGCCTTGGGTGTGGATGGAGCAGCTCTAACCTGCGTACTGCACACAGGTGTTAGAGAGGTTGGGGTAGGGGGTGTTTTTGCTCACTCATGTATATGCTTATGTGTATACGTGTGCATGCACCAGAGTGAAAAGAGGGGTATATAAAAGTATGTAAGTACATTGTCCTTCACCTGTTCATGTACACTCCATGAGATTTTCTCTAATGTCATATATGTATTTCATCTACTGTTAAATTTGATTGCTAGGTTAACTTTGTACTTATTTGAAGAACTCTGCTTGCTCAGTATTTATTTCATACAACTCTTTTTCATTTCATACAGAGTAATTCATTGGTATTATTGAGCTATTTTAGGATTATCAGTTATCATTGGTTATCAATCTTTAAACTTGTTACCCACAGGGAGAAAATGCATCTTTACATTTTCTTTATTTGAAGTATTAACACCATGACAAATAAAATCATTAAATACATTCAGTCACATTTGACATGTAGATGCTTTTTCCTTTTCCCATTCACCTAGTATGTTTTCAGTAAGATGATTTAACGACACAAAGTTAATTTTAGGAAATAGGTGACAAAAGCGGAAAAAGATCCGTCGAAAGGAGCCCATTTTACAAATTATGCCATATGGGTCATATTTTTTCCTCAAAATGAATGTAGGTTGTTGGAGACTATTGATATTTGCTTTACATGGTACAGTGGAAAGAGGAAGGACTCTGGATTCAGACACATGTTGATTCAAATCCCAGCTATATGCACCTATGTGAGTTTAGTTTCCTAATCTGCAAAATGGGAATAACAAAATTACCTAACTTGCAGTATTGTTTGAAGAGTAAAGGAGGAGGTATATCTAGTATGGGATTCAACACATAATATACATACTACAGATAGTAATTTCTTATTATTGTTATTAAAAACTTAGCTAAATCAGCCATTTCACCTATTTTCTCATGTTCTGTACTCATTTGTATCACAGATATTTATTTTGCAGTATTTTGCTTTGAATGGTTTAAAAAAAAATCTTGAACTTTTATTCTAAATTATAATGAAAGTGAAAATATCTCTTGTTATGCCTTAGTTTGTCTCTTCCACTTTTAAAAGAACAACATGGACTACTGTATTTAGGAGTGAAGTGTCATGCTGCTTGCATCTTTTTAAATGGTTCAAGGGAGAGAAAAGATAGATGGATAAACAGATAAAGCAATGTGACAAAATGTTAGTTGTTGATCTAGGTAGCAGGATAATCGTGTTCATAGAACATTCTTTAAACCTTTCTATGTTTGAAAATTTTTAAAATAAAAATTTGAAGAAAAAAACATCAGCATGAAAAATCAGACTAATATTTGGAGGAACCAGAACCAATGCTGATTTAGGATTTTCCTAAAGTTCTTTAAGAAAAATGGAGTAACTATCAATAAAAGTAAACAAGGAGTAATTAAAATACTACTAGTAGTCTTTAGGAAACATACTTCAGTCTTAAAAATCTTTTACAGAAGTCAAAATTTGTATGATAATGTAACCAAATAACAGAATAATTTCAACACCTCTACTTATACACTAAAATATGAAAGATGAATCCCTTTACAATAGAAACTTACACATTGGCTATATTTTAGTCATTAGAAGAAAATCCAATGTATTATTAATAAAATGGTTGCAAATGTGTGCAAATACAACATATCCCCAGTCATAAGTTGTGTCTTTCAACACTTTCGAGAAAGTCTTAGTACTAGAACATTTTGCAATCAAGTAGAGTGTTGATACTATTATCTGATGTTCTTACAATCTTAATAGAAATTTTCCACAGTCGAAACTGAGAAAATGTAGTCAGATAATCACTTTTCTGATCTGCCAGGTGTCAAGTTCAAAAACTATTACATTAAAGTTCTTACATTAACTTTAGCTGACAATATCTTACTAAGATCAGAATCTTTTTTTTTTATTGTTGTAGTTTAAATGAAGTTTACGTTTCAAGTTAGTCTCCCATACAAAAATTTATACGTGCATTGTTATGTGACCCTAATTGCTCTCCCCATACTGTGACAGCACACTCCTCCTTTCCACCCCTGATTCCCCACGTCCATTCAACCAGCTCCTAACCCTCTCTGCCTTCCCATCTCACCTCCGGACAGAAGCTGCCCGTTTAGTCTCTTGTATCTACTTGAGCTAAGAGGTACACTCCTCAGGAGTATCACACAGTTCAGTCCAATCCCTGTCTGAAGAGTTGGCCTCAGAAATTGTTTTAGTTGTGGGCTGATAAGCCAGGGGCCATGCTTTCCGGGGTTAGAATATCTTTTTGATATTTGTTGTAAGATAAATCTTTTACAAAAAGGAACAAAGGACCTCCTGATTTTTATTATAAAGTATTTTGATGTACATTTGCTTGGGGTGGTGTTGAAGTTAGCTTAGAGGTAGGATGCGAAGAATGAAGACTGTGATTACTATATTTTTTGCCAGGGCTCTGCATGGGCGGGAAGGGCCTCTTGGGAGTGTGAGATATGAAGAGTATGACCATGAAGAGGATAGAGGGAAGCAGTATGGCAGTGGGCGGATTCATAGGTGACAGGGAAGGAGGGGTTTTTTTTTCTTGCCAACCTGTAAGACATTTTGAAGAGATGGAGAGTTGGATTAATAGGTTTGACAAGAAGCTTTGCTCTTTATGAAGTGTCTGAGTCACTCACTCAAGGAAACCTAGAGCAAAGATCTATATTATCAACATCTTTCAAAGTTGGGTTTATATTTTAAATTGGAACTCCATGTTGACATTGGAAGTAGACTTATATGTATTATACTAATACATATATATTTGAAATTGAAGCCCTGAATGCCTCAGAGATGACAGGTAGCTTGTGTGTCTTTGTTTCAATTAATAACAGATTTCTTATCATCAGCACATTTTATCTCACTCTTACCTTGGCTATGAAATTATTAGTGATTTGTGTTTTGTTGGGATATTCCTTTTGCCAAATCACATTAAAAATATACTAGCTTTTTTCCCCCATTGCTCTGAATCACATGTGAATTGACTTTGTGTAGCACCATATTACCTGGGCACTTTCGTGGGTCTTGGCAGCTAGAATCATAGTTTTTCAACCTTGTGTTGTGTTTTGGAGCTCACAAAACAGAAAACCACCAATATTCAAAGCCAGAAAAGAAATAGCAGCACTAAGCTTCACAGAAATTGAAACTAAAAAGTCAGAAAGACCACCCCTGTCTCTCAAATTGCTGCTTATCCTTTCATCTCTACTTTTCTCTGTGCATCCTCCCAATTTCCCCGATTCTGTATTAATCAGCTGTCTCTGCTGCTTCTTGATTTTTGCTTTCTTATTGGTTGGTTTTACATGCCTTAAAATTTGTTCGTTCTATGGCACCAACTCCATCCTTGATTGTATATGACCTTTCAGTTAAATTTCCTGGTGATGTGACTGACTTAGTTCAAGTCCTCAAGACAAGGAATCTGATTGATTCAGCCTGTCCTATGGATTTTAATCATGTATCCTTAAGTTATAGCAAGGGGAATGGATCATGATGTAAATTAACTGGTTTTAGCTAGAGGCAAGGGCAGATCCTTTAGAAGGACATGTATGGTTGAGGAGGCTGCCATCTTCAGTTATGCTTGTACTTGGCTATAAACATATATTATGTGAACCTGAATGTGCAAGTTGGTTTGAGGTTACATAATCCTAACTCAAAACTAGGTAAGCAAAAAGGGGAATTTATTGGCTTACATAACTAGGAAATCCATGGATGCAGCTGGATTCAGGCTCAGCTGGATTCAGGGCTCAGGCAAGATCACCAGGACTTTGTTTCTTTCTCTTAGTCTCTTGACTTTGCTTGTCTGTTTGAATTTTGAACCACTGAGAATGCTTTCAGTTGGAAGAATCAAGACCTAACAGTGGCTAAACAATAAAACGACTATCTCACATAACGGGAAGTCTATAGGTAGATGGTTCCAGAGTTGGTTCAGTGGCTCAAACATCATCAAGTCCCAGATTCTTTATACCCTTCCTTCACTCCTGCCTCCTTTTAGCTATAGATGAGGGCAGGTCCTTTTAGAAGGGCATGTGTGGTGGGGGAGGCTACAATCAAGTATTTTTTCATCCTCAGGCTTATTGCCTCATAGTTACAAGACAAGCTGTAGCACCAAGCATCCCATTCTCAAGCAAAATCAGGGGAAGAAGGAGAGGCAAGGTTGGCAAGGGAGCTCACCTTGCCTGACTCTCACTTTTTATCAAGAAAGGAAATCTTTTCCAGAAACTCCCAGCACACTCAACTTTTACATCTCATTGGCAAACTCTAGGTCATGTGGCTACCTCTAGCTGCAAGAAAGGCTGGGAAACCAAGTGGTTGAAATCTTCAGTTTCTCATGGAAGAGTGGGATCTACTAACACAGAAGAAGGGAGGAGGCAGGGCCAAGATGGCAGAGTAGTCAGACACTTCCAGTGGTCCCTCTTACAACAAAGACCTGAAAAAACAAGTCAATTGATTATATATGACATTTTATGAGCCCTAAACATCAAAGGCAAAATTGAAGAATTGGACTCAGTGACAGTGGGAGGGAGAGACAGTTCAGAAGCAGTGAGGAGTTGCCAGACCTGACCCGGCGGAAGCTGGAACCCTTCAGCCTGGATCAGCTCAGGGGTGAGCAGTGAGGCAGGCAAGCAGCAGCAATCGGGAGGTGTTTTCCACATTGGGAGAGACCCAGTGGCAAAGAGTCCACTCGGCTATCCAGAACTAGTGAGCAGCAGCCCTTGATCGGCAAAAGATAAGTATTTGCATCTGGCCTACCGCACGGATCAAAAATACCCCCCTTAGGGAAAAACCTCTCTCCCATTTACCTCCTGGGTTCAGAACAGCTTCAGCGACTGCTGAGTCCC